TGGTAAGCCTACATTTTGCCACCATTGGTAAAGGTTCTGGATCTATCTTGGCACTGTTCTTATAAAATGTTTTGGGCGTTTTTGGCGTTAAAGCTATATTCACATTCAGTGGACTTTTTAAATATTAATTATATGTGAAACATATTTTTGGTTTGTCAATTTGATTTTTTTATATATATTTATTTTGATATTGATTTTATGAATTTGAGCACTTTTCTTTATTGCGCAACATGTTTTATTTTTGCACCTTAAAAGTTGTATTAAAGGCTGATTTTTTTTTTAAAATAACAAATACGTTATGCTTACCTGCTCTGTGCAGTAGTTTTGCACAGAACAGGCCTGATCCTCCTCTGGTGCTCCTGGCCCCTCCCTTCTGCTGAGTGCCCCCATAGCAGGCAGCTTGCTATGGGGGCACCCAAGCAGACTCACTCCCTAATCGCTGCTCTGTATGTCTATTAAGACACAGAGCACGGCTCAGCCCTGCCCCCCCCACACACTCTCCTCCTTGGCTCACTAGATGTAATTGACAGCAGTGGGAGCCAATGGCTCCCACTTCTGTCTCAGCCAAAAAGGAGGGAGAGGCCCTGAAGTGTCACTGCTCTGGTGCACATCGCTGGATTGAGATAAGGCTCAGGTAAGCCTTTACAACCACTTTAAGAACAGACATCCCAAACAATTTACAACCACTTTAAGAACAGACATGCCAAACAATTTCTTCAGAACAGACAAATGATAATATAAACTGTCTGAGAAGCGGCAGTATTTCTGCAAATGTAATACAATTATAAAAATATAAACATCATAAGGCTTGTGAGCACATAACACCAACTTTCATGTACAGTAACCATTAATGACTAAGTGGTCTGTTTGATCTGCCTCAGTTTCCACCGATTATGTATTCTGACATGCATGAGTATTGATCGTACATTTTACTTAAATCTCTTAGGATATTTTTTTTTTCATCTGTGTTTTAATGTCTAAATATTTCATCAAGGTCAGAATAACCAAGGCCAAAACATACAAGGACAAACATATACTATTCAGCTTAAAAGCTATTTTGAGCAAAATTCTACTTCATAAAACAGATTGGGTTACATAAAATATTCAATTGGACCTTTTATTAAAGCGGTATAAAATCCTAAAGCATTTTATATATTGCACCTTACCAATCCTAAATGTGTTAGCTGCATCTATTTTTTTCCTTTGTTTTCACCTGGTGATCTGGCCAGTAACACACTTCCTGTCTTTGGGTGTCTTTCCTCTGTAGAGGATCAATGGAGATATTATGCCTTGAAAAAGTACTCATACCCCTTGGAATTTTCCACATTTTGTCATGTTACAACCAAAAACGTAAAAAAAATGCATTTTATTGGGATTTTATGTGATAGACCAAAGTGGAAAGAAAATGATAAATGGTTTTCAAAATTTTTTTACGAATATATATATCTGAAAAGTGTGGCGTGCATTTGTATTCAGCCCCCCTGAGTCAATACTTTGTAGAATCACCTTTCACTGCAATTACAGCTGCAAGTCTTTTTGGGGATGTCTCTACCAGCTTTGCACATCTAGAGAGTGAAATTTTTGCCCATTCTTCTTTGCAAAATAGCTCAAGCTCTGTCAGATTGGATGGAGAGCGTCTGCAGAACAGCAATTTTCAAATCTAACCACAGATTCTCAATTGGATTTAGGTCTGGACTTTGACTGGGCATAACATATGAATATGCTTTGATCTACACCATTCCATTGTAGCTCTGGCTGTATGTTTAGGGTCGTTGTCCTGCTGGAAGGTGAACCTCCACCCCAGTCTTAAGTCTTTTGCAGACTTTTACAGATTTTCTTCTAAGATTGCCCTGTATTTGGCTCCATCCATCTTCCCATCAATTCTGACCAGCTTCCCTGTCTCTGCTGAAGAAAAGAAACCCCACAACATGATGCTGCCACCACGTTTCACGGTGGGGATGGTGTGTTCAGGGTTATGTGCAGTATTAGTTTTCCGCCACACATAGCATTTTGGTTTTGGCCCAAAAAGTAAAATTTTGGTCTAATCTGACCAGAGCACTTTCTTCCACATGTTTGTTGTGTCCCCCACATGGCTTCTCACAAACAGCAAACGGGACTTCTTATAGCTTTCTTTCAACAATGGCTCTCTTCTTGCCACTCTTCCAAAAAGGCAAGATTTGTTGAGTGCACGACTAATAGTTGTCCTGTGTACAGATTCTCCCACCTGAGCTGTGGATTTCTGCAGCTCCTCCAGACTTACCATGGGCCTCTTGGTTGATTCAATGATTAATGCTCTTCTTGCCCCGCCTGTCAGTTTAGGTCAGGGGTCCTCAAACTACAGCCCGCAGGCCACATGCGACCCGCCGAGGCCATTTATCCGGCCCGCCAGCAGGGGCGTATTTTCCTAGAGGAATTGACACGAAGTACAAGGGTGGGCAGGGGGCTGCTGTACCTTACCTGGCTCCGGTCCCAGTCCCACGACGATCCATGGCGAACGGAGCTGGAAGTGGAAGCGGGTACCTGTTAAAAGCAGGTACCTGCTCCCCCTCAAAAGGTGCCAAATGTGGCAGCGGAGGGGGGGGGGGGGACAGAAAAGCAGAGCTTCCACTTTTGGATTTAAAGCAAGACAGAAGTTTGCTAAAGTAGGAGGCATCCAGAGGACTTCACCCTCTAAGCCTGAATACCAGATTATTAAAATCTATGTTACCCCAACATCCCATATTCTTGATTTGTGCATTTTGTACTGTGTACTTGTGTTAAAAGGTATCCTGCTCTCTTTGTATCCTCCTTCGTGTGACATTCCTGATGTTCCTGTCAGTCCCTCTGCTATCTCAAAGTGACCACACTAGGCATGAAAGCTAATCCATCCCTTCGTGGTCAGTTTTTTGGCTGTGCTGAGAGAACAACCTGCCTATCCTCCAATGGTCAGACTTGTGCTGACATGCACCCCCCCAACCCCCGCACAGCCATTGACTGGGAAGACCAGTGTACTACTAATTCTCCATAAAATTCATTAAGGTTAAAAAAAGCCTTTAGAACCACTTAAAAAAACACATACAAAGAAAACACTTAATCCTTAAAAGGGACAAACTTCCCCTATATATACACATCTTCTATGCAACACACTGTATGTGTTCTATATTGTACACTAAAAAAACAAGGATAAAAATCTTTGACCTGCCCTATCTGGAAAGATGGGTTATCCCTGTATTATCTGAAGAGATAAACAGAACATGGGGCAAAAAAGCTTTTTAGTAATGCTGGTGTTCTACATTCTGTCAAAGTGTTGCACAATCCTCAGAGGACGCTCAATATATCTACTCATTTTTATCAGTAGGAGGCAGGCCTGTTGGCACTTTGGATGCGATCTGTCTTAAGTCCTCATGCACACTTGACGTTTTTATAGCTGCTCTTTTTGTCTTTTGACTTTTTTTTTCTACAACCAGTAAATCCCCCAGCGTGTTATTCTATGTATCCATGCACACAGACTGTAATTAACGTTTTTTGGCTGGAAAAAAAACCCAGGACTAGTGCGTTTCTAGAGGAGTTTTTTACCTATAAAAACGCTCTAACGTTGAAAAACGCTGTAAAACACCACAAACCGACATTTTTGGACTTTTTTTGACCAAAAAATAATTTCTTTTTTTGGTAAAAAAAAAAAAAACGCTAAAAAAATGCAGGGAAAAAGTTGCTAATCACCGCAAACCGCAAATGCAAAAACGCTAAAAAAAAAGCAGAAAGACCTCACGTTTTTAACGTGACTTTACACAGCTAATGTTACCAGAGTTATCAAAAAGTCCAATGTACATGGAGCCTACAGAAAACTGGAGATCAAATAGGTTTCTGAAGGTTTTCTCAAAAGGATAGAAAAAAATCTGTCCCAGACGTAGGTTGCCCCATACTGTAAGGGTTAAATGCTTGTTACGTCTAAGGCGTAGAGCAAGGGTCTCCAAACTTTCTAAACAACAGACTTTTGTGGGGCTGGACTGTGGGTATTGGGAGTAGAAAAGGTCCCAACATCACTAGGAAAAACTATGTTTCCTCTTTGGTGTCAGAGGGAGGAATTGCGCCATCATTAGTATCATTGGGCCCAATTGTTGGTGTCATTGGAAGGAATTGTGCCCCAATATTGGATTCATTGGGCCCAATTGTTGGTGTCATTGGGAAGAATTGCGCCCCAATATTGGTATCATTGGGCCCACCTGTTGGTGTCATTGGGAGGAATTGCGCCGTCATTAGTATCATTGGGCCCAATTGTTGGTGTCATTGGAAGGAATTGTGCCCCAATATTGGATTCATTGGGCCCAATTGTTGGTGTCATTGTTAAGAATTGTGCCCCAATATTGGTATCATTGGGCCCACCTGTTGGTGTCATTGGGAGGAATTGTGCCCTAATATTGGTATCACTGGGCCCAATTGTTGGTGCCATTGAGAGGAATTGTGCCCCATCATTGGTGTCACTGGGCCCAATTGTTAGTGTCATTGTGAGGAATTGTGTGGAATTGTCTTCATCGGAGGTTGGTGGAGGGGAGGGATTATGCCCCATTTTTGGTATCAGTAGATGAAATAGTGCCCTAAGGGCCGAATTAAAGCAAGCAAAGGGCTACAGTTTGCAGATCACTGGTGTAGAGGAACAAGGAATAATACTTACCTTACTTCTCTCTTTGGCAGGCTCCAGCGCTCATTTTTCTCTCCGACACTCCGAGGTGTGAGCAACCCCTTGCTGTCCTCACAAACAATGCAGGACTATTGGTCCCACATTGTACTTGATGATGTCAGTGTGCAACCGCTGGCTGCAGCGTTTTAATTTTGCCATAGACTGAACAATTTTCTTTCCGCAACCACATGCTGCCACGTGCCCCATCTGTGCGGTCATTCAGCACAGCACAAGTCGATCAGAAGGTCCTAGCCAATGACTTATGGCTGCGACCTACTGATTGGCTTAGCAAATTATAGTACAGAGCCCTGTTTTTACTACCAACTCAGAGCTCTGTACACAGAGCAAAGATGTGGATTTTTTTATACCTGCAAAGCAGGGAGATAAAACAGTCTTATCTTTTAGTGAAAGCAGCACACATTACACTTGTTAAGTATGCAGTTAACCCTTTGTTGCCCCTTGAGGTTAACCCCTTCCTAGACAGTGTCATTAGTACAGTGACAGTAACAGTGTATAGTATTATCACTGTATCAGTGTCACTGGAGATGTCAGTGTCAGTTAGTCAGTTCCCCCCAGTGTCAGATTACCCGCTGCACTACCACAGTCCCACTATAAATTGCTGATCTTTGCCATTACTAGTATAAAAAAAATAAATACAAATTCCAGTATATATACACCATTTGTAGATGCTATAGCTTTCATACAAACCAATTATTATACACTTATTTGGATTTTGTTTAACCAGTTTCACAGCCATGCAAAGCAGTGTGCAGGAGCTGACAGGGGAGAGAACTGTTTTGTTTACTAACAGTTCTCCCCCCTCCCCTGTCAGAGATGCTCGGTAATCACCGGGCGCCGGACCCAGTGATTGACAGCCACGGCCGCTACCCAGAAATGTAACATCACGTATATATACGTGATTTTGCGCACCCATGCCGCCCTGTAGCAGTACTTATGTTTTAGGGCGGATGGGAAGCAGTTAACATGGTTTTCTATAGGACACATTCACATCTATGCTTTTTTGAGTAGCTGCATTCTTGGAAAGGGTCAGGGACTTTTTTAAATGCAAAAAGCAGCGTTTTGCTACAACAGAGTTCAATGAAGACACTGCGAAAATGCATTTAGTGAGTTTTTGCCATGTTTTGCATTTTTATTCTGCCCAGCAAAAAAAAAAAAAAACTTCCCCTTTAACGAAAAAAACTGCAAAACATGGTAAAACTGCAGCAAAAATGCGTGTGTAATAATGTAAAGCGAAATGCAAAAGGTATTGCAAAAATGGACCACAAGCAAACTGCATTGGTGTGAACCAGGCAAGTGGTTAAAGACAACATTTGTGTAGTCCAGTTTAACTGTTGCCATAAACATGCAGAAGGTTACCTAGAATTACATTCTTTTGGTACTTTATATTGTTACAAAAAATTTATTCGGCGCCTCTGCTCACCAGTTTAGCACTACTAAAAGTAGGGTTGCCACCTCAAACCTTTAAACCGGAACACATATTAATTACACAGGTTCTGGGGCTGATTAAGGTGGTAATTAAACTCACTTAGTGCCTTATCTACATTACATTAGCCTCAGAAGCTGTGTAGTTAGTGTGTTTGGTTTTAAAGGGATGAGGTGGCAACCCTAATTCAAAGTAGTATTTACATATCATTTGCACTATTATCTAGCTGTGGAGCCTGCAGTACCTGCTAGCCAGGCTCTTGTGCAGCAGTGTTGTGGCGCTCAATTAGTTAAACTACACAAGAAAGGGAAGCATTAAACAAGCTGAAAGCTATGTCCTATCCTATTACACCATAGGCCTTCCAGCTGTAGCACATCATTTAGGAAAAACAAACAAAAGGCAGAGTTTTAACTTTCACCTGTCTGGTAACATCACATACTTGGTTACACCTTAGGATCCATGCGGGCAGATGCACCTCCTATACACTACATCACATGATGATAATATCAGACGAATGATCGCCTTTTTTTTTTTTTGCATGCTAGCCTCATATCAAAAACAAAATAGAAAATTCTATTTACTAGAAAAGTCTTGCAAGACAAAATGCAATGTAATTTATTGTATTGTATTCTTTTGTTTCCAAGCATGCTCGGTCACTTGATTTTTACAGACGAATACTGTACTGCTTAAACAAAAACTGTTAGTTCTGGTATCAGACGAGAAAATATTTTGTGCTTGTCCCTTTGTATATTTTGGCAGGAACTGTCATTTATGGCTCTTGAAAGCTGTGTGCTAACAATCAGTATTTTTTGTATGATTTTCTCATTATGTGTACTAGGCTTTAGGCTAGGTTCACATATGTGCAGGTGGTGCCGCTGCGGATCCGCATGAAAGTCCATGTAGCCGCACCACCCGCACAGAGAAATGCAGACCTGCGGGCGGGTGCCATTAGTTTTAATGGCACGCCGCCCACACTGGAAAACGCAACCGTACTGGGAACCGAGGTTCCCACGCGGGCTGCGTTTTCGGAAGAAATGCAGGGACTTCTTCCCTGCGTGGCATGGGATTCCATTCAAATGAATGGGCTCTCATGTCCACGCAAAACACGACCCGCACTGCCGCATATATGTGAATCAGGGCTTAAGTGCTAGAATCATACAAAATTCTACTTCCAGGAATACCAATAATATCTGACAACACCATCATCAGACCTGTCCAGAGAAATTAGGGCTGATATGATTTTTTTTTTTTTACTTAGCTAAAACTGGGTTTACTTTAAATACTTAATCATGCATGCAAAAAGAAAAAAAAAATACAATACTGCCTATACAATTGAACACACTTTCAGTTTATATACTAAGCTAAGTGAATAAAGTAAACCTTTACCCAGATCATGCGCACAAAAGTAGTCACATATTCTGAGCAAGTAGTACAATACTTTAAAACAAGCCATCTCTGACCTCTGTAGCTATAGGTGTTGCAGAAAATTCAGTCTAGGTTCACACGTTCGCGGTGTGGTAATGATGCATTACTATGTAGGTTGTGTTAGAGCAGGCAGTTCACAGTGATGCAGTGCAGAATTCACAGCGTTTTCAGTGCAAATTCCGCACAGCATTACAAACGCACCTCATTCATACAAACCGATGCGGGTATGTAAATTAACAACACACCGACATCAGTCCAGAAAACGCGGTGCGATGTGCAGAATCGGATTACTTAGGTGTGATTACCAATGCAATCCGATTCTAGTGTGGACCAAAAAAGGGTCCTGCACGTTTTTTAGTGCGGGTGCGGTGCTAATAGAGCCATATAAAATGTATGGCTCCAATCGCATCGCACACAAATTGCATGTGATTTTCACAGGAATGCAGTGCGGTTCCTGTGTGAATCACATGGAATTTACAGCACCACTGTAGTGTGAACCTAGGCTAAAACACACAAAAAAAAATGTGCATTACACCCCGGTCACACTGATCTGACTTTGAAATCGTGCGACTTCCAGTGAAGCTGCACAATTTCAAAGTCGGATAGTATTCTGACTTGAGGTGCGAGTTGAAAGACATCTGCGCCTTGCAAAACACAGATGTCCAAGCACCTGAAATAGTGCATGCACTACTTTAGAAATTGTTGCGGCTCCGACCAAGTCAGAATCGCACAGATATGACTGTTTTACGTGTGGACAATAGGGTGCGACTTGCCATGCGATTTACAACTCACATGGCATGGCAAAATCACATGGCAAGTCGCACCCGGTGTGACCGGGGTGTAACTGCATTGTTGCCAATATGGATATGCGTTGGAAACATGTGTTGAGGTAGCAATAAGAATTAAAACAATCACAGCACCACAAGCATATATTTATATGTTGCATCAACATGAGCGTTCCTGCAGGGCAAAGGTATAAACGCAGCCCAAGGCCTCTCGCACACAGGCTGCTGAAATGTAAATTCTGGCATCTCTCCCCCAGCCGGGAGGCCCAGGTGCTGTGTATAACCTCCTGTAGATATGCATAGCTGTGCACGGCTGTACTTGGTTATATGTTGGTGCTGTTGTAAACATGCGTACAGTGTATGGGTGTATGTACAGGATTCCTTTACACAAGGTCACAATGTCTATCTATACAGGTCCCTTTAAGGCTAGGTGCACACCAGTTTGCGTTTGAACAGTTTTGCACATGCTTTTTTGCCGCATTTTTGCTAGGCAGATTAAACCGCAGATAAAACGCACTACATTCTTTTTTGCAGTGTCTGCGTTGAGGTCTATAGAACCAAAAATTCATCTTTTTGCGTTTAAAAAAAGTCCCTGACCCTTTCCAAAAAACGCACCGGGTGAAAACGCAGAGATGTGAACGTGACCCATAGGAAATCATGTTAAATGGACTGTAGCACATTTCTGGAAAACGCTTAGGTGTGAATCTAGGGTACAAGACCAGAACACCTAAAACAAATATACCGTTACTAAAATGAGCCACTGATACAATTCACAAATGTATGTAAAGGTTCACACAAGCACAGAAATTTAGATACATTACACTACTTCATATACATTTAAAACTCACAGGCTCATTTCACAACGGTGATCTGATCAGGTCCTCCTGCCTGTTCTTCATGCAGACCTGATCGGGTGGTCCATGTGTCTCTATGGACTGACTTCTGTCCATTTACACCTGCCTACCTCTAATCTGATCCAATCCACTAACAAGAAATAGAAGGGGATTCATTCCCCTCCATCTAGGAGGATCAGAGGACAATCAGGTGTAAAGAGACAACCATTCTGTTTACACCCGATTGTCTATAGAGCCGAGCTGGCTGTGTCTGCTATGAATAAACTGAGTGGACACAGACCTGTCATCTGCCTGTTCTGATCAGCAGGGGAACAGTTGACAGATCTCCCACTGTGCAAAGCGGATCCGCCCCACATGAAAGGAGCCACCAGGGCCAGTTCTACCACTAGGCAATCTAGGCAGCTGCCTAGTGCGCAGCCAGGGCCCCTGATAGGGCAGTATAGCCAGACATGCTGTAACATTAATAATATTTTCCATGGGCTCCATCAGTTCACCAGAGGGGTCCAGGAAGTGAGGAGCAGAGAGAGACTATTTTTTAAATTTCGGGTGCAGGCAGCTAAAGCTGCGCTGAGTTTTGCAATGCTGATCAGTGGAAGCAGGTCACAGCTGCTCATAGCCTTTCAATGGTGGAGTGATTATCCCTTCCTCCACTAAGGAGGGCAGAAGGCGAGCCTGTAGCCCTTCAGCAGAAGATGATTCAACAGAGAGGTGACCGAGGACAGAAGCAGTAATGGGAACCTGGTGCACAGGCAACCTCACATCTTCTTAGGCACAGACAGATACACCATACGCTGTATATAGACAGACATACAGCACTTCCTGTACTGTGTGATCATGCTAATGATGACAATCACATAAGCACAGTGAGATGCTTCCTGTTAGTTCTTCTTTACACTTGTGTTTGGGAGACATTAAAAATGTGTGGCTGAACCACTTTTGCCATCCCTCAAATACAAGTGTAAATAAGAACTAATAAGCAGCATCTCATTGAATGTGTGTAAACCAAGTGGAAATGATCCAATAGCTTTGCAGCCACCTGATCGCTTTCACACTCCCCTCCTTGTGCCCTGCCATGCTTCCCAGGCTCTGTGCTCCCATCAGTGGACATCGGACCT